GGTAAGCTGTTGACGTGGGAACCCAACACGGATTGCAAAAGATCGGTGGCCGCGCATCACAGGGCCGAGTAAAATAGACAGAGTTGTTGCCGACGCAGTAAACAGATCCCAAGATCAAAATGAGGTAACGGAAATAAATGGAAACCACAAGTCTTAAACAGCTTACGCGCCTGTAAAGATACTAACCATCATGAGGATGTCATATGCGCAACTGCATAGCAGCAAGATAATTGGATACATATGTATTTACTCTCATGCTAAGTTAAAGAAAGAAATGGTATTCATGTGAGCTATTTTTTGATTAGGGTCAATCAAATAATTACACATCTCCAAAATATTCACTTCGATAAATAAAGTTCATCATGCCTCTTCCTCATTCGGTTAATTATAATAATTATGGCTTTCGCCATCACCTCATCACTGCTAAGCTAATCTTCAAAAGAGCTAATGTCTTCTCCTATCTTCGTACTGTACATCCTCTAATTGTCATCTTTACGAATCAATAGTCACCTTAAGATCGTTGTCCATGTTTACTTTCTTCATCGTAATTGCGATAATCTTTATTTTCTTCATGATCACGGTCAATCGTATTCTGCCTTGGATTGTCACTCTCTTCAAAACGATATGGGTCTCATTTTAATTTTCCTTTGCTTTTCCGCCATGTTCATGATGATCAGGATCATTGCCTTCGCCATGTTCATATGTTAACGTATTTATCCTCGTCATCTTTACGATATTGGTTAATCATGTGCATTCCTATCGCGAACTTTTCGTCTTCATAATTATTACGATCATGGTCAGAAAATTATTGGCATCCCAACTGCAAAATCGTCATCTTTGCTATGATCGACAATGCGAACGTTTAACTGCAGTCGAACAGCCCGATTATGTAATCATCATGTGAAGCCGAGGTTTCGATGACTGCCTCTGTGCAGCATTGAGGTAGCGCGATTTGGCATACCTCTGGAGAAATCGAAATTGAAAGTGAACATGATTATGGCGTCGATTAATCACGCTAAGTTTTAAACGCGCAAAAGCAAAGTTTTTCTTCACCGGACTTATATTAATCGTAACCGGTCCTGCCAGAAAGAGCAGACGATTGATCAAGCATATCTTGTTAATGTCAAGAAAGCGGTCGTGTTGGTCATCGCAAATTTACATACTGAAACAAGAAATACGTGTCCCAAGAGGTAAACGATCAGGACTGAACCAGGTCACACATGCTGTATTCAAGCTGTTTATCTTTTATAGGATTTGACAGTCATGGACAATAATCTGCCAGCGCAATGCATAAAGGCGAAAAAACTCACTGGTTCATGAGACATACGTCTTCACTGCGTATGACGCGGAAATCCGCGACGTTTAAATTAAAGTTTGTAATTCATGACATAATAGCCTTTCGACATTTACCAGTTTCACCAGGTTTAGGCAGTGAGCACTTTTCCCTCAGAGGTTTCTTCTAATGATCGTTCCGCCATGATGCATTGCAGGCGGCCTAGTGTTGGAAAATGAAGCACGTTAAATCGTGGCATAGTCGCGTCCTGAAGTCCAAGTCGAACCTGCCCCACCCCCTTGCTGCTTGCACAAGTGGAGAGGCCTTGGACTGGTAGAAAGGTCTTCTGAAATCGTTAATTTCATACTTTACCTGGAGTTGCTGGATGCATTTACCTCACACCTCGATCGTCGATGAATTTTCGTTAGTAGAGCTTAGCAGTTTGCAGAAAGACCGCCAGATGGTGACTGACATTTTCTTTGTTGGACTGATATAACAGCAATGAGTTCAAAACGCATATAAGTGACTACAGTCGACAGACAGTGAATCTGAAGTACATCAAACGGAGTACTTATTGGTACACAAAGGTAACTGTAGAGCAGCGTTTGAGATGCCCAGGTAGATAGGAATGCGTTACTTGAAGGATACAAAAAACTGTTGGAATTTGGAGGAAATGACTGACTGAGAATGACTGAAATGAGCTGTCTGCGATATTCTCCTCTTTTATCCAACACTAGGGCTCACTTTAAACAAATTCTTAGCAGGTTTGTTTTCCCCTTGACATTCGATTCCTTATGGAAGCGGGGGGACGTCACTGAACTTCGTTAACGCGCGACTGTTGTTAGGATTTTTCGTCTTAAGTCGCAGCTTCCCTGTCACACAGTTGCTGTTAGTTACTTCAGAATTACTTGCAGAATCTTAGTCTCCTTTGCTAATATCAATCTTCATGCTTTCCTGGACTGTATGTGATTCACTTTTAGTTCTGAGTCTAGATTTTGATAGTGGTTTATTAGTCTTATAAACAATAACTCATCTGCAATCTAGGATCTATACGCTTCTTCATTGATCAATTGCACTCTTTCATAACGATATAGTCAATCCTGTATCACATTCTGTTAAGAGATTATTGTGCGCTACACATTTCAGTACTGTGTGGCTCTGACAACGAGGATGTTTATTTGTGCCCATTGTACGATTTAGTCTGTTCAATGTCCTTTCGCTCTTTCTCTGACTTCAATTCCAGGATCATGATTCTTCAAACAGGTGCCATTCCTTTCCATAGCGTTGGAGACATTATTCTGACATCCAGGGCACAGCGCGTTGCTTCCTCAAAATAAGATTTAACGGAATATTTTGCTGCCCTTTACTCCTGTTTTTTACAACTATGCATTAAGAAACTGGATTCTTAATATCGCACTGCATGAACATCGTACTTATTCGTATACTGGAACACGTCAAACAAAGCTCGACTCCTTAAAGAGCGTTAAGTAACGGCGTATTGCATTGCTCATAGTAGAACTATAACTGTTCAGAATATGGTCGTTTCCAAACATGCAGATTTTACAGCAGCGAAAGTGCATTGGATAGTGCAAAACTCTAAACCTCTAGTCATCAGGTTTCCCCGAAGATCTGCAAAT